TACTTCTTTATTATATATATATATATATATATATATATACGTACGTGTATATAAGATTGGATCACTCTTCAGGAGATCCTTTGTTCCAGGAGACAGTAACACAGGATTGCACAAACGTAGTATTTACGAGCATAATGGAATTGTGTGTTCTCAAAAAAGGGCTCTCTGCATAGCTACCGTTGTTTTTGCGATCCTTTTCGCCATATCACTCATCATTGCCTTCGCGGGACCACAAAACGGTAGTGTAAAATTCTATCCAAATAAATTTGTAATAAAAAAAGGAGGGAAATCGTTCGTCGAGTTTCACTCCTCCTTATTTTTCCTCTTTATAATATTATTGGTTTTCTCGTTTTTTTTTTTTTTTTTTCTTTTCCGTTTTTAATAGACTGCCCTTGCGCTGGAGAGAAGCCAGCCATCGCGGATATCGAGGACGATGAAAAAAGCAGCGAGCCTCTTGCGACTAATGGAGAGGTATGGTTATTATTATTATTATTATTATTATTTGTGTTCCCTTGATGACGATTGCGCAACGTCGAGCAAATGGAGCGAAGTGGATCCAGTGTTTGTTTCGCGTATTCTGGACGAATTCCTCGAATTAATATCGCGGTCGAGTCGATTCGGGTCGCAAAAGAAATTAGAACGCGTACAAAGTGTGAAATATACGTATATAGATTCGACGTTTAATACAACGTACGTTGTAATAATATAGGTTCCGTGTGTGTCGGTATTCAATGGTCGCACCAAGATATGCTCGAACCTAACTGTGAACGAACTACGAAACGCGTTGGCGGGAAATCAATCGTAATACGTCACCGTGTATGATCTATAGTATAGCTGCTATACTCGTGTACCGCCGAAAATCGTTCGTAAAATTGTATCGTTTTGGAAAACGCGGAAAACGGATAGATGGATTCTTTTACTCGATCGTTTCGAAAATAAATTGATCGAACAGGAATCGTTTACAGGTATTCCCTTGGAATAACGTGAGATTGCCTACGTTTGCGCATCCTACCAGGTACAATATCACCATCCATCCAAATCTTACAACGTTAGAGGTAAAAGGTAAGGTAAACGACGTATATATATATATATATATAAATTCGACGTATATTCGATAATAATTATTCGCGCACAATTTCGTGGCACAAATTAACTCGTTAATTTGCACTTTCAGGACAGGTCACGATCGAATTCTACGTCGATAAAGAGATCAACTATATCGTCTTCCATAGTAAAAATTTGACAATAAACGAGAAAGTGAGTGTAAAGTGTTTTTTTTTTTTTTGGTGTAATTTTAATCGCATCGTCGTTTTCAGATGGTTCAAGACCGTAAAGGGCACAGATTAAAAATTGCGAGATTGCTGGAATATCCGAAACACCAACAATTATATTTAGAACTGGAAGAGAGCAAATTTCGAAAGAGAGGAAATTACACGGTACATTTGAGGTTCATTTCGAAACTTACCAGCGAATTGGAGGGATTTTATCTTAGCAGCTACGTTACCCCGGAAGGAGAAAAGAGGTCACTCTGAAACTGTAATAATTTTCTGTTTGGAAAATCGTTGAAAATCCCGCGTTTCAATCTCGAGTAAATTTTTAACCGAATTTCTTTCTTTCTTTTTTTTCTTTCTTTCTCTCTCTCTCTCTCTGCCTCTCTCCCAACTTTAGGTACCTCGCAACAACCCATTTCGAACCTACGTACGCACGCTCGGCATTTCCATGCTTCGACGAGCCGCAATTCAAAGCTAAATTCAAGGTTTCGATATTCAGAGACAGATTTCACATCGCGTTGTGCAACATGCCTGTAATGAACACCGAGGACGCGGGATTTTACATGGGCACGGGACTGGTGAGTATCGAAACGATTGATACGCATCGATACGTCCGTGTATATACGCGCCGTGTATAATAAATTTTCAGCTTCGCGACGATTTCCAAGAATCCGTAGAGATGTCCACGTACTTGGTGGCGTTCGTAGTGTGCGATTTCAAACGAGTCTCCGAATTAACGAGAAGAAATATTTCCGTGAGCGTTTACGCGTCAGAGGCGATGCTTCCACAGGCGAGATACGCGGTGACCACGGCCGCTCGTATAATGGATTACTTCGAGTCTTTTTTCGGTGTGCATTATCCGTTGCCTAAACAAGGTTCGTGTTCGAATGATTCGATCGAGAATCTTTTTCTTCTTCTTCCTTCCTTCTCTTCCTTATCCTCTTTTTAATCTTGGATCCACTTCACACCAGATCTAATAGCCATCCCCGATTTCGCGACCGGGGCGATGGAGAACTGGGGCCTGATCACGTATCGGGAGACGTCGATACTTTACGATCCGGAGGAGTCGTCGACCAACGTGCACGAATGGATCGGTACGATCGTGGCACACGAATTGGCCCATCAATGGTTCGGTAATCTGGTCACTATGAAGTGGTGGAACGACTTGTGGTTGAACGAGGGGGCGGCCAGTTTCTTCGAATACAAGGGGGTGAATCACATTTCGCCCGAGTGGAGCATGATGGACAAGTTTATTTTAGAGAAAACGCAATCGGCTCTCGATCTCGACGCGTTGGCCAGCAGTCATCCTATAAGCGTCCAGGTCAAAGATCCGAACGAGATCGAAGCGATATTCGACGATATCAGTTACAGTAAGGGTGCTTCCATTCTAAACATGCTTGAAGGCTTTTTATGCGAAGACGTTCTCAAAAGCGGATTGAACGATTATCTGAATTCGCACGCGTATGGAAATGCAGATACGAACGATCTTTGGGCGGCCTTTACCAAACGTGCCAATAATACTTTTGACGTGAAAGTAGGTATAAATTTATACACCGATTATTACACGCTATAATTTTATCTAGAGAAGAGAAAAAATACGCTTCGTTCGATTTTTTTATTTATCTTTCTTTTATATTCTTTTATAAATATAAATATATGTGTCTGTGTGTGTATATCGTTAAATCGAATCCATCGGCAGGCTATTATGGACACGTGGACACAGCAAATGGGTTTCCCTCTGATCACGATTACGCGTAACGGGAATACCATCACGGCGACTCAGAAGAGATTTCTAATTTCTCCGAAAGAAAACGATACGGAATCGCAACGAACGAAATCCTCGTTTGATTACAAATGGTATATTCCATTGAGCTACTACACGGACAAAGAACCGCGCAAACTTCACAACGTGTGGATGAATTTAACGGACGGTATAACGCGAATAATTGAAAATAATTATTGAAAAATTTCTTATATATATATATAAAACAATTATTTATTTTCAGTGACGTTCGAGATACCTAGCGACGTGGAATATATAAAATGTAACGTGAATCAAAGCGGATTTTATCGCGTAACTTATCCGGAAGAGATGTGGGCATCGATCATCGCCACCTTGTTAAACGATCACACCAAGTTTAGTCCGGCGGACCGTGCTAATCTTATCGACGACGCGTTCACGTTGTGCGAGGCAGGCGAGTTGAACGCCACCGTTCCTCTTCGATTGTCTCTTTATCTTCTGAACGAAGGGATTACGCGCCGTGGACCACCGCCCTCGGATATCTACATTCTTGGAAAGAAAGATTGAGCGAGAGTCCTGGATACAAAAGATATATCGCGTTTTTTAAAAAATTGTTGACTCCAGTTACCAAATACGTCGGTTGGTCCGACGAGGGATCTCATTTGAAGAAGTAACTACTCATGATCGTATACTATATAGTTTTATACGCGCCCGAGAAGAATATAACGCGATCCAATCATTTTTCTATATATATATATATATATATATATATATTTTTTTTCTTTCTCTCTTCTTCGCAGATTATTGAGGATCGCCGTACTTCAATCGGCCGTGTCTATAAAATTGGAAGATGTGGTAAAGCCAGCGAAATCCCTTTTCGAAGATTGGATGTTGAAAGGTAAACGGATAGCGCCCAATATACGGAACGTGGTGTACGTTGCGGGTAATTATCTTTTCTTTTTTTTTTTACCTACAATTACGGAACATTAAAAGGGAATAAAAATATATGGATAGGAATCAAGTTTGGCGGTGAAAAGGAATGGAATCATTGTTGGGAAAATTATCAAGAGACTCAAGTATCGAGCGAGAAACTGATAATGTTGGAAGCGTTGGGGGCGAGCACGGATTCTTGGTTGCTGCAACGTTATCTCTTACGATCGTTAGACCGTGAAATGGTGAAATCGCAAGACATGGAAACCGTTATAATTTCCGTCGCCTCCAATTCCGACGGTCAATTTCTCGCGTGGCGTCATCTTAAAGCGTATTGGCCTCAGATACACGATTTACTTGGCAATGGATCGTTGAGCGGACTTATATCCGTCGTGATTTCCAACTTTTTCACGGAATACGACTACCACGAGGTTCGTATACCCTTTCGTCTCTTATATATATATATATATATAATCTTGTTGAACCGAACGAACGTCTGGTTTAACTTTACTTTAGCCTAAAGCTTCTCTCCTCCCAGCAGAATTTAATTTCCATCCGATTCGATCGATGGGAAGAAAGGAAAAAGTGGGTTTTAAATTTTTCATGCTTCTCATCGTAGGTTTCGGAATTCTTTAAAAAAGTGGATGTCGGAAGCGGTCAACGAGCATTGGAACAAAGTCTAGAAACGATCAAGTTCAATATTCATTGGGTAAAAGAGAATGCGGATATCGTTGACCGATGGCTGGTGAATTATTTGGACGTTCACACGAGTTAACCCTTTGTTTATCGGGAATGGGAGAGGAACGATGCGAAATTATCATCCGTAACGATATTTGCGCTTTTCGCGATACGCATCGACGCGCGATGCCTCGCCGTGATACGATATCTATGGAAAAGTAAGATGTATTTGTTCGGCGAGATAATCGAATCGTTTATTTACGTTAATTAGTTAGGTGTATCAGTACACGCATATAATTCGCAGATCAAAAAAAATGTCATCCATTTCCGTCACACGCGTCCAAAGATTATTTTCGCCGGTTAACGGACGATCGTTCGTCCAAAGTTTAATACCCTTGGAAAACAATCTTTCGACGGATCGAAACGAAGCCGAATTGTTTACCTATAGTGTATAGTAAAAAAAAAAAAGAAAAAAGAAAACGCATTATACACCGATTTATACGCACTTTCGAAAGTACTTATTTACTATACACGCGGTGCGCGAAGATTGGATTTATTATAGGTATATGTATAAAAGAGAAAGATTATAGCGAGAAAAGGGGCAACGTTGTTCCTAGGGTAGTCGGTAACCCAACGTTTTCCGGGAAGAAAGGGGCTAACGACCTACGCCTATTTAACGTTGATTAGTGACACTTTAGTCTCCCAAAATACCTACGTACTTATTTGTACTTTACATTACGGGAAGCGAGCCGAGTCATCTCCATCCCGAGTGATACCCAACCTCCTCCCCCCCTCTCTCTCTTCCCGATCCATCCAGTGCAGCGATTCAACCACACGAATGGTAACAAAATTTCAGGAGAAACGCTATTTATGTATTTTATCGAATCGAGATCGTGTAGCCGTAATACTATCGGTAATATGGAATAATATTTTGGCCTGTGCTAGTGTACGTGTGTGTGTGTGTGTGTGTATGTATGTACGTACGTAAGATTTTTATTCGATTAACATTTATCGTACGTGGTACGTATAATTACGGATAAATTCCGAATTGAGGACAATTTACGTTCTGTCCAAAGTCCGAGTATATCTGTTTGTAACGATACGTTTGCTCGATTCGCGATATGGATATTTTTAAAATTTCCAATTACCAGACGAAACAAATTGAAGTCGAAGAAGAAACGATCGCCTCGCCAATTGTACGATTCTTCGAATGATCTTATCGATTATGAAACAAATATCCGTTCGCGTTTTCTCGCTCGATTACACGGAATACAATTTGTCTAAATAGCGTATGCAAGTAAGTAATAACGTACTACGTACTTCGTTGTTTTGATTTTTTTTTTTTTTTTGAGAATTTTGTTCGTTCAAAGATAAATTTAGAAATTTGGTCTTGATTCGGGCTTCGTCCGTAATGCGGCGTACAAGTTACAAAGTTACCAAATATTTATTACGCGATTATTATTTTACCGATATAAACATTTTTGTAGCGATAAATGTCAATTGTACAGTTACCAAAAATCAACGTTTTACATTATACGTAATATAATGGACGACGACGAAAAATCTCCTACTTCGAGGAATTTTGGCTACTCCTCGCGTCGAAATATGTTGTAAATAAAAGATCAAGGCGAACGACGGAAATTTCATTGGGTAAATGAAACGGAAGATTGTGGAAACAATCGGTTAAATATAAGTAGCATATCAACGTGTCGAAGAAGATTTATAATCGGCCAAGTCTTTGTCAAGCAGAAATTCTAGTTTCGTGAAAACGGTAAATCGACGAAGAAGATTTATTTGGCCCCGAAATAAAAAGAACGTGTTATGAGAGGATTATGAGAATTGAGAAATCCTTGGTAATAACTGCGAAAAATCGATGTGTCGTGTATTTGTATATGTAAGAAACGGAACGTTGAATGCGCGGAATTATATATCTCGCGTGGAGCTGATCATTCTCCGTATGAAGTAGCATAATAGAGAATCGGATATTTTATTATGAAAAAGTGTATGTAAATTTATGTATGTAATCTTGTGATGCTTTGTATGGTATGTACATATTAGCGTATAAGGAGGAATTGTGTGCTCTGTGTGTGATCCGGGTGTATCGAAAAAGGTATCTAGATGCATAAAAAATATGTTGAATGCCAACAATTTCTGCTGGCCTTTATAAAGAAAGAAAGAAAGGAAGGAAGGAAGGAAGGATAAAAGAATATTCGTGCGATTTTGGATTCTTTGATCTTGAAATGCTAATAACGACCTTGAATTTGCATCGATCTATCGTTAGATATATCCCAGTATTTCCTACGTTCTTCTAATTGTTATCTATCGACAATAAACGTTAAATACGAGACGATGTAAGCAGGGAAATGTTGGGGAGGGGGGAAGAGGGAAGAAAAGGATTCCGTTTATTCCGTTTCGTTTCTAATCGAATTAACCACTACTTAGCATTTCAAGATTAAATCTGAAGCGAAAAATCTAAATAATTAATTGTACGATGTTAAATGTAGAGGGAATATTCGATGAGGTGTCGTATGTATGATACGTATAGTACGAGTACAAGTAGATTACACGCGAAACAAATTATTAGAATGATCGGAAAGAAAAAAAAGAAAGAAAGAAAGAAAGAAAGAAAGAGAGAGAGAACTCGAGACACCTTGTATACGTTTGAATTTTATCGGAGAGAAACTATTTTCTATGCGTCTCTTACCTTCCACTGTCCGTATCCAGTGGTCGATCGAATATTGAATCGTGCGTGTTCTCATCACTCTCGTTAAACAATCAAGCACTCGTTATCCAAAAGAGAAAAATTCACGTTATAATTAGTTGTTTCACGCGCTAGAGCACATAATGATAGAACACGATTGATCTCTACCCGTAAAATGTATCGAAAAAACTGCCGACGATGCTTGCAATTCCCCGCGGACAAAAAAATACCATTTTTTTCGAGGTTTATGCCATTTTTTTACATATTTTCGATCAGAGTACAATTACTTCGAATCCCGACGAGTAACGATATTTCTTCTCTAAGTAATATCGTCCATTTTTATCGGATTAGGATTTTCCGGCCGGAATTATTATACGCGCATGTTTACATTTAGAAGAAGAAGAAGAAGAAGAAGAAGAAAAGATGATGGATGAAAAATAACGGCTGCATAAATCGTTGATCCCTTTAAGTAGATTTTGATACACTCCAACGGCGAATTAATGAATCGACGCACAACTAGATACCTTACATGTAAATAGCATATTTTTTCACTAACGGATATTCTCTCTTGTTAAAGATTTAAACGAACGAAATCGCCCCATTGATATTTGCGAAAGCGTTCGGTTCGCCGGTTCGCCAGTTTCGAAGATTACGAAGGGAGCACGAACCGATTGGCCTACTTTACAACATTCGTATTATAGCCGAAAGTATATTGTTTAAGAAGTATAATGCAGTTTTATCGACGCTTTCGTTCAACGACGAAAATCGCACAGATCGTCATGTTCCTTTACAAACAGATTTACGACTAATCCTAAATTGTCACACGTCATGAAACTCATGCACGATTATTATGTTTTACCAATACTATTTTCTTTTAACGAATTATTACAAAGGTCTAACAGTATTAGAAGAAACCCATTCTTTATTGTGGTATTAAATTATATCGCAAAATTATATCGAATATCCGATCGAAGTAACGACATATATGTATGTGTACGTGTACGTATACATATATGTATATATATATATATATATTGTTATGAAACGATTTAAATGATAAATCAAATCCATTAGACGCGGAGAAAAACCGATGCAAATGTTCTACCGAAAGACTGGACATCAGAGTAATCAAGAAGAGTACATACTTATATGTATTTTATGCAATCATGACTCGATAATGTTATGTCTTAAGAGAACGAGGCTGTCTTGCATCTCGTATTTATGAATGAATTATTGATACAACTATATATTGTATACCGTTCTCTACTATACTGTTGTCATAGATATTTTGTTGTATAAAAGAATGCGAGATATGTACAAGCATACAAATGAATATATTATATGTTTAAAATAATTTTTGCATTATCCGATTCATTCAAAATTCGTCCAATTTCAACTATTATTTGCAAAAAAAAAATAAATAAATAAAAGAAAAAAAAAACTTATTTATTATTTTCAACTTTTTAAATATATTTAGGAATTTTGTTTATTTTTTAATACAAAAATTTCAGGAATAAAATAGCTTACATCATTTGTATCATTTTTTTTTATATTTATAGTATTAAATTCTATTAAGCGTAATCCTTATTAAAATTTCATTAAATTACGGAATGGGATATTTTTAATTGATAATAAAAATATTAAATAACTTATAACGATGATAAAATTTTTATTAATGTTAAATTTTAGTTAATGTTAATAATTTAATTGTATATTTATATATATATATTTATATATATATATATATTTTTATATCAATTTTTCAATTTTGTATCTATTTATGATAATCAGCAATTATATATTTACATGTTTAATTTTGGTATAAAGTAAATGAGAAATCAGCGCCATCTCTAGATTGCCATAAATTGAACTATATAAGAAGAGAAAATAGTAGAAAAAAAAACAGAGGTAGATTAAGAATTTATCTTCAGCGCCATCTATTGAATGTTAAAATTATTCAAGAGATAATTCTCAATTCTTATTCTATCTCTATTTTTCTCCCACTATTTTCCATCTTTTCTTTTTGTGTTTCATTTGTGGTATTCTGAAGATGGCGCTGATTTCAATATTTTTATCCTATCTTTTTTTTATCTCTATCTTTCTTCCATTATTTTGATACAAACGATAATACACAGACGAGATATGGAATGTCAATTGAACACACTTTCATTTTCGTATTTCTCTTTCAAAATTACATCGTATGTTATAATCTTTAACGTAGAAAATACATGTTACGTATAAATATTGCATTTTCAGCTTTTCAATATATTTCTACAAATCTCATAGTATAATCTGATATATGACGGAAATGTTTAAATAATGAAAATAAGTTATAATAGAGTTATTATGACAAATAAAATAAAATAAAATAAAATAAATAAAAATAATATGCAAAATATTTTTTTCGATTTCTTATTTTATCAAAATAAAAATTTCTAATCCTTTTTTGGTAAAAGTAACTTTTTATAATTGAAAGAAAAAAACATATAATAGTGTAGAATTATCATTATCCCACTTATTTGTCTCACAATAGTTTTTATAAATATAAAATGTTTCATATATTTCGTGTATATCTATAAGATACTTCATAATAAAATATTTATTCTATTTTTTTTTATTTGCAACTTTATATAAAAATTTAGTTTTAATTTTAAATGTTTTAATTTTAATATTACGATGTTATTAATTATTCTAAATCGAATCAATAACTAAAAATAGAAGATCAGAAATATACATTGAATGTTAAGTCTATGCTGCGATCGTGTTTGTGTCAGTATATCGGAAACGTCGATATAACACAACGTGTATACATATTTGTTATTCGCGCCATGTTCAAATAGCGCGGTTCTAGCTCATAATGACGTAGTTCAAGAAAAATTCCAATTATCTCATACTGGAACGACAGACGGTTGCTTTTGCGTCGATCTCAATAATTGCATCATTACGCGAAGAAAAATCTTGTTAAGAATATTTGTCATTGAGTTTTAAGTAAAATGTGATCAAAGATTTGAAAGTTCATTTTATTTTGAAAGAACGATTTATTAAAATGCGTGTGCTTCTCGAAGTTAAGTGACGTAATGTGTTTTTGTTTTTTCATCCTAATAATTCAGTTTTCATTCTACTAATTTTCAGTAATGAGTTTTTAATATTGATCAGTATTTAAGTGATTTTTCTCAAACTAATATATATTTTATATATAAAATTAAAAGTTTAATAGAGACTTCAAAATGCTTCAAATAGAGGATTTACCATGTATGACATCATTGTCACCCGGCAACGATGTAATGGATTTGAAATCAACGCAGCTTATGAATCAGGTAAATAATGAACATATGATTATTTTTAATATATTTGTTATATACGATAAATATAATATATATATTATATTTATATATATATATATTATATATATTGTAACATACATGTAAAATAAAATTATATATATATATATATATACGTATATATTCATTTTCTCGTATATATGTATAATTACTTTACACATGTTCACACGTATTTACTTGATTACTCATTATACTTACTTGTATTAATAGTTTGAATATGGCAACTACGCACAGTGTACCAACATGATCGTAAATGAAGTTCCTTTATTTTAGTTTGATTTCATGTGGTTGTATAGTTACATGTACTTATATATACGATTAATTGTTTTTTCTTCTTCACTTTTAATAAATTTTAAATATTAGTATGTATGAAGTGCAAAAAATTGTGTGTATGACTGTATAAAAATATTTTCTTTATATTTTATATTTCATTATTATTAGCAAATATATCTATAAAAAAATTTTTATACGATTGATCGAATTATCGAGAGAAATATCATTTTATTTCTAAATTTAATCTGCAATTTAAACGATTTCTAATTATATATTGATGGTAAAATATGAAATTATATTATAAACAAATAAAAATAAACTTAATTGATAAAAAATAACTAAAAATAATAAAAAAAAACTACATACATACACACACACACACACATACACACACACACACACACACACACACACACACACACACACATGTATATAC